AAATTTATTCTTCTTTAAAATCCTTTTCAAGGGAAAGTAACAAATAACCAAAAATTATTTCAAAAGCTTCCCTTCTCTCAAAGAAAGTTCTTTTAAAAGTCAATATCCATCTAGTACAGTTTAGGCTCTAGTAGCTTAAATATCTTATTTTTTTTAAATAAACGAATTCATGAAAGATTTCTTTGGACACCTTCTTAAGGAAAGATATAGCAATGAAGCATTAAGATATTCAAAATTATTTTTTAAGCATAATCTAATCATCGACTTGTAAGTTAAAGGATCATAAACCATAATCATAAATTTAGGATGACGTCATGATAAAAATTACAACCTTTTATATATATAAGAAAGACTAAGAAACCCCTCAAATTTGCACAAGAACAGTAATTGAAATTTTAAAAAGAAAATACTGGTATGCGATGATTTCCTGACTAACCTATATTGGAACGTCTCCCCTGGGTTGATTGGACAATGTGAAACAGTTCCAACGCCGTCCATCCAGGGCGTGTGCCACTGAACCATGCCGTGCCAATGAATCGTAAGTCCCTCCATCAATAAATTATTCTTGATGTTGACAACAACCTGAGACAATTTACAGACATTGTAATGTATTCATTTCAAAGATTAAGAGGAATCTTTACATACATGTATATTTCTAAATATTCCTTAAAATAGATATCTAAGTAAAATAACGTTAAATACCTTTTTTAGTTTTATTTTTAAAAACAAAAAACAAAAAAAAAAAAAAAAAAAAATAAAATCGAACAACTTGTTTTACCTGTTGTCCCTCGTATACCACGACTGAAGGACCGGGGTATTGTTTATTAATACTGTAGATCATTTTATAATTTCCGTCTGCAAATATAGCTCTATGCGCATCTGTAAGAAAATAAGACAGTCAATATACACTTTGGCGAGCTGTCATTTGGAACTTAGGTTAAAATGTGGGCATTTTAAATTTTTTATTGTGCACAAAATGTAACGAAATTAATTTCAATAATATACCCCAGTTCCCTTTTGAAGAAAAAAGAAGACAAACATGTTGAAACCGATAATGTGCCGGTCGGGTACCTTTCCATTTACATAAAGAAGGAAGAGAGTGTTAATTTCATAAATGATTTTTTTAAATTTAGAATTCATGAACATGAACTACGACGCTTTAGGGCAGTTCATTTCATGAAATGCTTGGTGAATGGTGAATATGCAGGCAAGAAGAATCTTGGTTCATGTATATCATAGATTCTCAAAAATCAAATTCATATCTTATATTTTCAATATTTTCCTGACGATTGTGGTCTACGGAAAAATAAAGTTTGTACTATTTTAGCCCTTATTACTTCAAAATGAAATTATTCCTACTCATCCAAAGGTAGTTCATGACATCATAAACTTTTTCTAAATTGCACAGAATTTTGGATTGCATGTATTTACTTTTTAAGTGCAATGGTGCATGGCGTATTAAAACGAAATTAAAGAATTCGGAAGATACAAATTCATTAATATAGTTACGTTTTACAAGATTTTCTTGTTTTAAATATGTGGATGATAACAGTACATAATCTTTATACCCTGAATTGCAAGACACTTAACATTTTCGTTTAAGAATTTATATGAACACATTAAATTGATTTTTAAAGGGCGGATGAAATATATGTAGATCACAAACAGTATTCAAGCTCAAAAACCCATTAAACGATACTAAATAGGATCAGAGCAAACACGGACCTACAAAACATCAGAGGTGGAGTCAGGAGCCATGGAGGAGTGAGCATCCTCTGCCGATCAGTCACACCCGCCGTGAGCTCCTTGTCATGATCGGTAAGTAACAAAAAACCCCCAATAATATAGTCTGTAAATAACAACCTAACATTTGATATGAAAAACGTCAGTCAGCATATGACCCAATGATAAATTGTTTTTGATGAGAAGGTCATTGTATTGACCATAGAAATGACAAAATGATGACTCCAAACGAGATTGCAGATATTCTTGTTTCATAAACTTGTTTGTCAATAATTTACATCAATTTAGAAATTGTACATACGCAGAGCATGCTCTTCAGTATCGAATCATTTGAGAGATATAAACCCCGTATGCAGGTGATGAAGGTATATTGCTGCATAAGTAAGAATTTTGACGATTGAAAAGTTGAGTCAAATGAAGACAAAATTGAGGCGACTGACGGTTTTGTTTCGTTAGGTTTCGCATTTTACACGTACCATCTTATTATTGACAAGGGATAAAATATACATCGAATTTTTATGCACAGAAAAAAAAATAGTTTTCAAAGAAACACTCTTACGCATGTCTTACCTTTATTAACATCAACTGGGATAAGCGTATTACAATCCGAACGCTGGAAGAGTGTACCATTTCTGACAACTATAGGATTTCCACGCCCATCTTTATCATAATAGATCATAGTCTCTACGTAGTCAATAACCCAGTCAAACTCGCACACCTCCACCTCAGGGGGACAGTGGGGCTTCACATTGTGATCGAAACCATCTACAGACCTCGTAACAAAACACAAGAGGTAAGGTAGCGCGAGGAGGCATAATTTCTCCATGCTGGTAAATTTTTAGTAGTTAAACTATGAAAGTAAGCACTTTATATTGTGTGAAATGCGTATTATCACATGTACTCTGTGGTGTCATTTCATGGATAAGATACATATTTCTATATAAATAAATTATCCTCATTGGTATGTGACTAAGTGTAAATAAAGAACGTTTTCTCCATTTTTAGATATGATGACATGAAATCAAGGTCATTTACTTATAGACTTATCATTAACCAGTTACCTATAATGTATGATAGTGTACTTACTTGTGGTCACATCCAATCTCTACCCAGAATTATCGTTCTACATATCGTTCCACTTATTTCTCTGTTAACGTTTAAAAAAGAGGAAAGATAAGTTGTAGTACATACTGGTACATGTAAATATATACAATGTTTGAGGCACGTAGGTATGGTACAAAGAGTACTGGACTATTGACAAGAAATTTCATGTACCAGTTATACACAGATCAACGTGGAAAACATATTTTGTTTTTGTTTGTTTTATACTGTGATAAAGTACATGTGAACACAAACTTCGTATTTTACATATGCTCTCTTACAGAATTAACCATAATTCTTGTAAAAAGTATAGATAGGGGATTTGTAAAACATTTGCTGGACTCCGCATGCAGTGTACCTTTCGAACACTTCAAACTGACGACTACATTAAATGTATCTCTCGTTTCCCTGAATTATTTGTGCCATTTTATACCCGGTCTGTATCTATCAAATATTCCACTAATCTACTCAAATATTTCGGCATTTAAATTCAGAAGTCCAATAAAGCAATATAAAATGAGGAGCAGAGCAAAAAAAGACTTCTAAAACATAAAAGGTGGGATCGGGTGCTAATGAGGAGCGAGCATCTCCTGCCGACCGATCACACTCGTCGTGTTTTCCTTGTCATGATTAGGCAAAAATCCGTAGACCGTAGATCATTGCCTAACAGTTAGTTAAAATAAATATCAGTCGGGAATTACAATTATGGACTCTGGTGTTGAATATTGTTTGTTATTCACCAGAAATATATCAATACTGACCGAGGCAAAAACACCAAAAAGAGTCCCTTATTATTTTATAACAAAGTCCGGATTTGAATGAATAAGACACTGAGGGCTGCATGACGACATCATTTTCATTTGCGAACTTCCGTCGTTAATTTTTTTTTTTAAAAGTCCAAATAACAATTTGTAACGTTTGTGTTTTCCTTTCCGAGCTTTGCTATGTAAGACGTCCAAATGTTCAAAAATTATCCTGCGGTAAGTTTGTCTACTATTTTCTCTGCTCAGGTTTAAAGCTATCTGTGGCCGTTGCAAGCATAGAGAGTTTTGAGTGTTTCCGTTGAGGCGATTTAAGCATAAGTTATTCATGTAACATATAGCTTCGTGTGTACTAAAAAAGTTAAAAAATCTTAATATACACTGTAAAACGTTTACAAATGTTAATATGTTTGAATTAAACAATTTGGAGTAAGACAATAGTAAAAAAAACCTGTTGATTTACAGGTACAACCTATCGAATATACAGATGAAGTTGAAGTCGGATTTAGATCTCAGTCAAGATAAAAACAAGACAAGTATTGAGTAGGGCATATTAAAAGTACCACGATTCAAGCTAAAAATTATATAAATTGTTCAGCTGTCGCAAGTGCTTCTCCAGACAAACACAGATCCTATTTTCTTTTTTCAATAATATAAAGAAAGAGTCACTTAAAAAAAATCCAATGATATTTCGAGACTATAGAAATTTTAGAAGTTGGATTGACACATGTATCAACAGTATTTCAAAAATCAAATCATCGGGTTTGGAAATTTGATATTTTGGATATTTGAAGTGAACTTGTAAAAACTCAAATTGTAAAAAGTATTTTGGTTATTTAAAATTTGAATGTTTGAATCAAACGTTCCAAATTTCTAAAATTCTAAAATGTTTAAACGTTGAAATTTAGAAGTTTGAAGTTAATTTTAAATCGTCAAAGACGAAAAAGATTTCTGGACTTTAGATTGTTAAGTGTAAACTTTTTGAACAAACTGTAGATATAAAATTCAAAAAATGTTTTTGGAAATTTGAATTTTGAATATTATACAAGGTTAAAATCAGAGAAAAGAAATAATAAAAAAATCTTTTAAATTTGATCAAGATTTGAGAAAAATGATTAAATTTCAATATACCAAATCAGTTCAAGTTTTCGAAATTTAAAAATTTGAACTACATTTGTAATAAATTAACATTTTAAAACTCTAAATCATTTTAGAAATTAGAATAGATAAGTGTTACACGGACCAAATTGTATGCATACAATTAAAGAAAACTATGTAGATTTTCACAAGACGTATTTTCGAAGGGTTTGCTATACATGTATGTTTTAAGATGAGAAAAATTGGTAACCAATCAATTTAACTTCCTCATTTTTCGAGTTCACTATAAAAGTGAAACGTTTAGTCATCTGTTTTACATTTCTTGGTTTTCGTTATCTAGAAATAATGCTATTTATTCCACAAGTGATCGTAGCATTTGGAATTATTACAATTAATGAGTATTTCTGTTTCGGTAAGTTTATTTTCATCACCAATAAGAAAATCCAATCTATGCGTTCCTGTTTATCCTAGGAAAATTTTGGAAGGAGTATAAACTGTTTCGCTTAAAATAACTTAAATAAAGCATAACGTAAATCAATGAAATTTAACGCATCTTTTCTACTCACAGAATAAAATATTAAATTCGCCCGATCAGTTCTGTTTAAGAAATTATACTGTGTTCTTTCAATTCGTTCCACACTAAATTCGCCATCTGAGAGCAGCTAGGCATTATCCCTGTATGGAGGTGGCAGACCACCTAGTTTTCAAGCTACAATTCATCCTATGACCCTAACCCTGTTTTCTGAGGAAATCTCGACAGAGTGATTTTTGATCTTAGTTTTGTATTTCTAGTCCATATTCCATAAACAGTAGTAGTGACATTAAAGTGTCATATATCAATACCAATTCCCTGAAATGATCAAATGAAATATTATAGCAATAAAATTACCGATAATAATTTTTTTTTTACATACAAACCTTAGATTTCTCTATTTTTGTCTAATTATTGACACCCGCGTGGCGTAGTGGTTAGTGTCTGCTCTAGAATTGCAAAGTAAAGAGTCGATCCTTACATCCCATTTTCGAATCCCAATGTGGGACGTTGGGAACGGTCCTTCGGATGAGACTGCACTAACCAAGGTCTCGTGTTGCAGTAGGTGCACGTCCTGGCACGAAAATGAACCCTTGCCGTTCAATGGCCGTACGTGCCGAGTGTTGGACACACTTTTCAGCTTTCTACCGACAAGTGGTGGCGTCTCCATACGAGTTAAATTCTCGAGAAGGATGTTAAACAACATAGAATCAATCAATCAATATAATTTTGACCGGTACTTAATCCGAAACTATCCTCTGCCACCTTATACAGTATTATGTTTTGAAAGAAGTTGTTTTTGAAGTTCAAAAGTCACATAAACAAAAAAGGTTTCCGTCATACTCAGCACAAGCGTATCAAATAAAGACAATAAAATAGTACAACAGAGGGAAAGGACACTGACAGACACTGACGTTTTCCAATAATATTTGCATACTAGTATAAATGGCAAATAATGAGATGTAGTCTCACACTTTTCAAATTTATTTGAGTGCAAAGCTGTGATAATCCACATTGATGATATGATTGACCAGAACGAAATAAAAATTTCTCCGAAAAGCGGAACAACACCTCGCAAAGAGCACACAGATAGGCAACATCAACATCAATTCCGATGAAAAGCACCTGTTTTCTGCGATATACAACACGCAAACTAATCAGTGCGTTACCATAGCTCCTCCAACTTCGTTGCAAAAACGTTGAAATGTTCAGCTGTAAAGGTCTTCAATGACAAAGTGACATTCAAATAAAGTCAAGGAAAAATATTGTGTTTGAAAAAATTGGATTAAAAAATAATTCAGATATAACCATACTTTGAATATGAAGTGGAGTTAGTATATTGGCAGACTGGCATGCATGTATTTTAAGTTTATAGTGAGTATTCAACAAAAGCGTTTAAATGGGTCAGGCCTGGTAACTAGTCGATGCCTCTCCTATCTAAAAATCATATGTGGTATCAAATTATGAAAATTGCATATATATATCAAGACATTTTAAAAGTTTTTCATTTTGTGGAGTTTAATGATTTGTAACCAGAACCATTTTCTGTAAGCCAATACAAGATTGATTCGAAAGTCGGTAGGGTACAATGGGAAACATCTTAATAAAAAAAGTCCTAACAAAATAGCTCTATTATAACTGTGTGACACAGACATTAAATAAATAACTACTTGCAGACTTGACTCTACTTTGCTAAGTACTCTTGATACCAATTAAATCATCAACATGTATGGATTCTTCAACGACATATATAAACTTTCAACTACCATGAAGAAAAGACAAAATTCGCCTGCTTGTTTTTAAATCCAGTACCACGACTTAAAAATAACTACATAATAACATTTTACAAGTATTTATCTAAATACCTAAGGCGTTCAAAAAAATTGACCGTCAAATCGTATCAAAATTCAGATTTTTGGACATTTAAAGAAAAATTCATTTAGTTAAATTTCCATGCATGAGACAACATTAGAGGATAAAACTATCTGTTTATCATCTTGATCAGGAAACTGACCATGTTCAGTGATTTTATATCAATTTAAAGAGAAAATTAAGAAAATCAAGAATTCAAATTTTGCTATTTAATATTCATATATAAGGGGCAAAACAGAATTATTCATTTGCAGCTCAATGATAGATATATGCAAATATATATATACTGTGAAATCACAAATTTTCGTGGGGGTTTAATTTTTGTTGTTTTCAAGGTATTAAGAGACCCACGAATTTATGTCCACCACAAAATATATAATTTTGTATACATAAGTACTCAAAAATTCTGATCCACGAAATCAAATCCCCACGAACCAACAAATTTTTCTCAAGCCACGAAAATTTGACCCCACGAAAATATGTTATTTTACAGTACCTACAATTAACTATAAATATTTTAGGCATCCCTGGTGACAAAGGACTAATTCTTGGAATATGGAATCCTGCAACGATAGCCACAATCACAGAAATACCAAGAGCCAAAGCAAGTTATTTCACAAAACTCTCGACGTCTTTAGATCCATCAAATGTGAAGATAACAAGTATTGCGTCTGATGAAAAAAATAAAAATGTTTTTTTCGCTATTCAAAACTCAATTTGTGTATTTCAAAACTTCAACATTTGGCAAAATGAATCAAAAGCCATTACACTTAGTCTTGCATATACAGGAAAATCTGCAGCTTTTGGTCAAATTACATTTGACTTTGTTTCTAACAATCTTTACTGGTGTGATTCACTTCTAAACTGGATAGCCATGAAACCAGCGTATGGAAATGATTCAATACACAGAATCGTGGTTCAAGATGACTTATATCAACCAGAAGGCTTGGCACTAGATCCCGAAGATGGGTAGGGTATATAAGTATATACTGTAATAATAAAATATACCTTTTCCTGTATTGAAAAAAAAATCTTTCATCTGAATATATCATTCTGAAAATGCACAAAATCAATTGCAATGAAGTTTTCTTTTCAAATTTTCATTTGAGAATACTCAAATGCTTTAATTTATTCAAATTCTATACCACTAGCTTTTGGTTATTTGAACCAGTTTCACGTAAAAGGAAATGTTGATGGCAGAACCTTTTTTTTTTTAAATATTTTGATACATAAAGTTTTTTTTTTGCTGTTTTTTTTGTTAAACAACAGATTGATGTTCTTTTCTGACAATGATATAAATCCACGCATTGAAAAGGCCTCCATGAACGGAGAGAATAGAACTGTAATAGTGCACACCAGTATAATACAAATATTGGCCCTCTCTGTTGACACTGCCAATGATTTATTGTACTGGGCAGATCATGGCAGACAAACAGTAGAGGTCAGCCATTACGACGGGTCGAATAGAAGAGTACTTAGAAGGAATAACCAGGTTTCATTGACAGGGATTCACTATCATCAGGTTTTGTGCATTTCGATGTTAATAAACTTTGCTTTGCCTATCATTACTGGAAACCTATGTCCATTACAAAAATGGAAAAAAGATTATCTAATATTCTAACAATTCGTTTAATTATCAGAATATTTTGCATGCTGCAAGCGCTAGCTCAGACCAGATATTTGGATTCGATGCAACATCGGGGTCAGTACTCTACAAGTTAAAGATGGCATTTGCACAACCATTTGCTGTTCATGTTTATGATGCAGAAACAGCAGTCTCGTTTTCTGGTATAGACATATATATATATATATATATATATATATATATATATATATATATATATATATATATATATATATATATATATATATATATATATATATATATATATATATATATATATATATATATTTTTTTTTCTCTGAGATTACGCCTCAAACATGCAGTGCTTTAAACTTCACACATTTTTTAATTTAGCTTCTTTTTGCAATAAATTGCATGTCAGCAGAAAGAAAAAATTATTTCTATATCTTAAATGAACGTAGTTTTTTTTTCGTAATCGTTTTCAAAAATAAATAAATAAAAACCTGAATGTATATGTACATGCCTTGAATGTATATGTACACTTTTTTAAAATTACTTATAGCTCCTTGTTCATCTCGAGGGTGCCAGCATATGT